TTGATTCTATCAGGTAAGGGCATCTCATTCTGAAGTTTTGACAACTCTTTGACATAACTCTTGTCTTGAGCCAGTCTGTTGAGTAATTCCTTTAACTGACAAAATCCTAAGGCTACGTAGAGAACAGTTTTAATACCTTTCTATGACCAGCTGCTTGTCACTTATTTGGTTTGGTTTTTGGTTGGGGGTTGGGGTAGAGGAAGCCCTTATTGCCCTAATGCCAGCACCCAAATCCAAATGAACCTTCTCCAGTAAGTACCCATAATCATTCTTCTCGTCATTCATTTGTTTCAGTTATGTCTGACATTTTATGACTCTATTTGGGGTTTTCTTGGCAAAAATAATGGAGTGGTTTGCTATTTCCTTCTCTAGCTCCTTTTACAGATGAGGTGACTGAGTCAAGTAGGGTTAAATGACTTGCTCATGGTCACACAGTTAGTAAACGTCTGAGGTCAGATTTGAACTCAGGTCTTCCTGACTCTAGGCTTGGCATTCTATCCACTGCACCACCTCACTGCCCAATATGGCTCCAGAACCTAGCAAATTGATCTATTCTGGCTCTAGGTTCACTCACTTATCCATTCAATAGCCATCAAAACTTGAATGAATCAATCAAACTAATAAATAAGTGGGCGACATGTCCATTACCAAAGAATCACAGATTTTTAAGAGTTGGAAGGAACTTTACAGACCAACTTGTCCAACGTGTAGCAGAGCAGAAATCCTCACTGTAAACCCCCCCCCCCCCGCTCAGCCTCTCCTAGTAGAGCTTCAATCAGAAAGAGGCCACTACATCTGCAAGCAGCCCATTTCACCCTGGAGAACTTTTCCTGTTAGGAAGGGGTTTGTTTGTCATTTGTTTGGTTTGCTTGTTTGCTCTGGTGTTTGTATTTCTTTTACTTTTACGCCTGACGTTTCTAAATTTGCTGCTATGTTGTGTCCACTCCAGTCTTCTGGGTTTTCTTATCTGGCTGCAAAGAGAACAAATCTGCCTCATGAAAAACCTACAAATAATTGAGCCCAGTTATCCTGTCTTCCTTAAGTCTTCTCTTCTTCAACCTAAAACCTCCCATTCCTCCACCTGACTTTCATAAAGCGTAGAACGCAGGATATTTATAATCCTGGTCCTGCCCCAGACACTTTCTGCATTATCAATGCCTTTCTTAAGTGGCAGCACCCTTAAGACTTTAGGTTGAGTCTGATAATGACAATACATATTTTCATAAGGTTTTACAGTTTGCAGGGCATTGATACATTTTATCTCATTTAAGCCTTGAAACAATCCTATGTGTCAGGCAGGCAGGACAAATGTTATTACACCTAATTTACAAATGAGGAAACTGAGTTTCAGAGACATGAAATGATTCATCCCTGGTGGCCAAATGGATATAAATCAGAAGCAAGATTTGACCCGAGATCTTCTTAATTTCAAATGAAGTTCTCCATCCACTACAGTACAGAATGATATTATGGTACAATCTTGAAAGGATGGATTACACACATACCCAATAATCATATGTGGCCAAGGGTCTCCACTCATACAAAACTATAACGAAATTCATTTTTAATGAAAAAAATAGATTACAACAAGGAAATTAATTCCAAGCCATCATCACAAGAGAATAAACTAATCTTAACTGAACATTTCGGCAAATAGAAGACAGGTTCTGGAAGCAAGATCAATCCCTCTGTTTTGGCATTGGGAAGCACATTTATATGGAGTAAAGAAGGGGCTCCCATTCCTGCAGACACCACTGTTTCTTCTCCCTGGGGTTATTATATCGATGGGCTGTCTTTGAGGATGTAGCAACATTAATCTGACCAAGATGAATGGGCCAAGGAGGCCTGTTCTAGGATTTAAGGGACCCTACACTTTTTCTTCCACAAAAGGTTACAAGAATGTGCAATTAAGACATGCTAACTCTATCAGGCTAAGGTTTTTGTTCCCGAAGATGGTCCTATGGACCCTTGTGCTGATGAATGTCTGAAATATGTCTCAAATTAAATCCACATAACTTTCCCCGTATCCTGTTCCCAAAAGGACAAATCAGACCACCAAATCAGACCACACAACACAGCAGCAAATTGGTCAAATGAATCAATTATTCAATAAATTGCCTATTAATGTTGGACACTTGTGGCACCAGTCATGTCAAAAGGGCTGAAATCCCTCACATATGCCTGAAGAAGTATTTTGCAGGGTCACTGTGCTGCCTCCGATATCTAATAGTGTGACCGTTGGCCGAGTGTCAGATTATCTTTAGAGCTGGAAGGAATCTTAAGAAGGCAATTTGCTCAACCATCTCATCTTGTAGTAAGGAAACAGACTTCAAGAGGTTAAATAATTTGCCCAAGGTCACACACGTAGTTAGGCTCATTTCCCTCATCTGTAAAATGGGTCTAATGTTTCCTGAAATATTTGTCTCACAGGCTTTTAACGACTCTCCAATGAGAGAATGCATATAAAGGTTTTTGTAAACCTGTAAAGGATTTATAAATACCCATTTCTGTTATGATTACTTTTATTATCATTATTATTGCTAACAATAATAACAAAAGCTATTATTAATATATTCTTTTAATAATAATATTCTCATGACATGGTAAAACATATACCTAGAGATTAGTATAGAATAAGTCATAGCTGAAGGCAAGAGATCTCTTTGTTGTTCTCATCATTCCTACTTGCTCTTTGGAAACAGTCCAGCTTTCTATCTTTCCCCTGGCCTAATAACACAGTGCTACAAATATGTGCTTTCACAGATCTCTATTCCTTTGGTTTCCACCCTGGGGTTTGGGGCTTACAGAATTTCTGATTCCAATTGCTGGTACTTTCATCCCAAGACAGGGTAAGGCATCATGAAATGTTGTTTCATCACCTCTGAGCTCAGACAAGATGGCCAGTAGAGTTTTACTGGGTGGAAGATGTAGGACTATTGCATGGGACTCCCTGGCAGTGGGACCTTGTCTCTAATCCTGAATCTAGCATGGAACAAAGCATTCAGTGCAATCAGAATAAGTATTTCTGTTTTACTGAAATGAGCATTTTACAGGTATAATTACCTTGCCCATTAGCATCATGTTGGGGTTCCACCAAAGTTTAATGTCAGGAGCCCAGGTTTTGCTGGGCACTTTGTCCTGTACACAGGACTGAGGCTGAATAGAGTGGACCTGGGTGCTTATGGAATTCACCTGGTGAGGGCAAGTAGTGGAGAAGGGGTAAGGAGGAAGAAGTAAAGAAACTAAGACTTAGGGAAGACCAAGCTGAGACTCTGCTGAGTTGGCCTGGCCTCTTCATTGGTCCGAAATTCCAGTGGACCTGAGGAAGTTGGTACAATCCGGAATAGTTTGGTTATTCGATCTCAACAATGGCATTGCAAAGTCACGTTGGATGAAGTATTGTTCTATAGGGCACAACTGTTTGTGCTTTTGGGACTTATAATGTCTCCTTGACAGAGCTAGAACTAGTTAAGTTTTGTACGATTGTCAAGGAAATAGCTAACCTGCCTCCGAATCATCCAAGGGAGAAATGCCCCCATGTTGGCCCTCCCTGGGGAGTCTGATGACACCACAAAGCTACTACCAGGAAGGCCACCACCCAGGGAAGGCCAAAGGGGAGTTAGGCCAGGGAGGAAACCATCTGTCATGGGGCCACTGGAATGGAGAAAACACACTAGATGTCTTCTTCCTAGTTGGATGAATTGCTTTTGCTAGCTAGTTTCTCTGCTGCTGAAAAAGTAAATTCACTGTGAAAATACAGATGTAACAAAATTAAAATTACACAACTAAAAACTAAACATGATAAATGTTCTTGTCCTCTTGATTTCAGTGTTTGGATAAAGCCTTGGTTTTTTTTTTCTGACCTAGTTATTTTTAAAAAAGGCAAAATTATTTTTCTCTTCCTTTGCCACTCTGAAATATCTCCCATATAGATAGAGGCTTTGTCTCTGGAGTGGTGCTTTTCATCATGAAGAATGTGGAGAATGGACAAATCCTTGCTTCTTTTTGAGGAGTATGTGTGTGTTTGAGTGTGTGTGTGTTCAAGTGTGTGTATGTGTATTTGACCATGTGTGTGTGTGTTTGCATTTGAGTGTGTGTGTGTGTGTGTGTGTGTGTCTGTGTGTGTGTGTCAGAGGCAGCCAGATCCCTGGCCCTCTCGGCCTGTGGGTCAGGAAATGTCCCAGCACACACCAGCCCTGCGGTGGCCCAGTGCTGGGTGGAATTCAGCTCCGGGTAAAGATATGTTACAAATTAAATGTTGCAGGCGGTATGAAAAGCTGCAATAAATAGAAACGGAGTTACATCAAGGATTGAATTAAACCTTCAGTTTCAACTCGGCAGCTGTAATTAAAACTTAGCCCGTAGCAAATCATTCACTGGAGATTAAAGTAGTGTGGGGGAAGCCCAGAATGGGGCTCACCTTGCTCGCTCCAATTTATACGTCTGAGTTACCCAAAGTTAACAGCCCTGCCCCTGAATCCAGCTCCCAATTAAAAACACAGTTTGAAAAAGCTTTAGGAGACCTGAGGGGCCCCTTTTACAGAAGCCTCTCCCCTTTCCCCCTGCCTCAATCTATGAACAAATTAAAAAATATTACCTGGTCCCCTGTTGCTCCTCCAAGCTGACACTGTGTTTTCATTAATACATCATTAGAGTAATGACATTGTGTTGGGGCTGGACTCAAAACACCAGGCTGGGACAAAACCATGAGGTCCCCGGGGGCCTTCAGGCCTCCATTGTTTTAAGGAAAAATGGAAATTTGTGAAGATACTCAGAATCGTACCTCTTTGCTGCTTATATTTCCTAGCTACAGTGGGCGGTTTAGGAGCCTGGTGCTTTTCGTTGGCTTGCTTCTTACTTTTAGAAAATGCTGATGTCCCCCTAATTCTAAGGCAGCCCACATTTCCACTGACCTAAAACCCCAAAGGCCTCCTTGATCGAAAGACATCACTTCATATCCAACCCATCTGAAAACACACACATTGACTTTTCTTTTCTAGACCATTAACTGTTACCTCATAGACAATAATGGCTTCATCCTGGTGTCTGAAGACTACACACAGGTAAGCAAGAAACTTCTCTCTACTAGCCCCAACCCACAAACCGAGAAGGTGTCTGAACTGAGGAAAGCTAATAGCAATATTAACTCTTTCAGACAGTCATCTGTGTTTAAGAGGTAAATAACAGATTATAAAGCCTGTTTCCATCCCCACTCCCTCAAGAATGGGACTGACTTTTCACAGGGTCCCAAAGGGTTTTTTACCTCAGAGTAAGGAAGGTCTGCTCTTAATCCCATTAAAAGTTCAATTTATAGAAAGAACTCTTTGCCACAGGGCTGTCTCTGCCTCAGAAAGGGCTCTTTAACCCCCGGTGGATGTTCTTTAAAGCATTTGGCCACTTTGAAGGAAAATGTCCTTCTGACATGTTATCTCCTGAGGAAAGAGGGGGTGGGAATGACACAAAGCTCTCCTGAACACTTGACTCCGCTTTTTCTGTTTTTTAACCTGATAACCAAGTCCCAGGATTAACTCCAGCACTCAGCATTCAGGGACACGGGGCCCAGGAGAGAGATAAGAAATGCTCTGGGACTGATTGGGCTGCTGGTGCCAGGTAGGGGAAAGAGGGGCCAAGAGCTGTAACAGCAGTAGACAGAAGGAGATGAGCACCGATATCTTGGGTGCAGTTTTTTTTAACTTAAAATGACAGTTGTAATCAGAACAGTTGTCAGTGCTAAAGAGACAGAAGCCAAAGTGGACATTTTGGTATATCAGACTCTTCTCTTGCATGTGGACAGAAGGTTAAATGAGCGTGTCAAAAGTGACAAGAGAAGACAAGGGCAAAGCACTCTTGATGTGACGGACAGAACCAGGCTGCGAGATAGAAGATGTGACCACTCACTAACTGTCTTCATGACTTTGGTGAAGTCATTACTGTTACATGGGCCACACTTTCTCCATCTGTAAAATGCAGATAATTATGGGGATATTACGATGATGTTAATGATATTGATAATCATAATAACAATCAAATCAGATGTTTCTATTGCACTTGGAGTTGACCGAAGTGCTTTGCATCTGCTGTGGCATTTCAGCCTGGTAGCAGGTCTGCTAGATTGTATAATCCCCACTTTACAAATGAGAAAAGTGAGGTTTGGAGAAAGAAAATAAATTGTCCAGGCTCTTATGACAGAAAATGTCACAAATAGGATTCGAACCCAGTTCTTTCTTTCTTTCTTTCTTTCTTTCTTTCTTTCTTTCTTTCTTTCTTTCTTTCTTTCTTTCTTTCCTTCTTTCTTCCTTCCTTCCTTCCTTCCTTCCTTCCTTTCTTTCTTTCTTTCTTTCTTTCTTTCTTTCTTTCTTTCTTTCTTTCTTTCTTTCTTTCTTTCTTTCTTTCTTTCTTTCTTTTTTGCAAACCAAGCCAAGTATGTATGTTTTCCTCTAACACAGTGGTGGTTGTGTAAATGTATATAGGCCATAAAGAAAGGAAGAAAAAGTCTGGCCTCCCACACTGAAGCCAGTTCTACTAAAGTCTAATATTCTGTAATTCTGTCATTCAATTTTGTTATCCTGAAACAAGTGACTACTTAGAATCAAAGACATCGGGATGAAGAAAAATGGTTCATTTTATTGTTCCTTCTTTCACATTTAGCTATGCCCCCCCAGCAGCATCTCTGAACAGTTTAGAGTCTGTGCCCATCCTCGTGCTCTTCTTTTGTTCCTTAGTGTATTTCCTGTTTTCAGTTTCCTGCTGGCTGCTGCCCTCCTTGGCTGCTTTCTGACCAGAATCATTTCTGCTAAGCCAAGCAACCTGTTGGATTGGGATGCCATTTATCCTCCTTTCCACCCAAATCATCATATTCCTTTTGAGTGCTCTCTTGATTGTTAAAATCCCCCAAAGAGCCCAATGAAAGAAATAATGTGGGGGTAATAAAATGTCCCCCAATAAAATGGCTTCTTTTTGATGGGCATTGCCTACCTAAGTGGTGGCCTTAGCTCCAGCGTGGAATACACACAGCAAACCTGAGTTTTCCAGAATACAGGAACAGTCCAAAGGTGACTTACATCTCAGTCTCTTTTTCAGGATTTTTTAGGAAGTGAGGTGATCTAGCTGAATCTCTCTGGCCATAATGGAAAGAAAAAATAACAACATCTTAAGACATTCCAAAGATCCTGAGTTTAGCTAGAAGTTGCTTTTGCATCTCAGTCCACATCAACTAACCAACTGAGAGGGGAATTGGCCTTGAAATATCTATAAAAAGGCTAGAAGAGGCAAGACTAAATTTTTGTCATATGTGGAAAATATGAAATGCCACCAAGGAAATAGTCAAATGGCTGGTGCTAATATCAAAATTCCCAAGTTATGGAAGCTGGGTAAAGCTCCCCACCCCCACCCCCACCAAGTCCTCCCTGCCCCAAGGCACATACACTATGCATTCACCCAAGGCTTCGGTGCTCCATTCATTTGCTTGATCTCCTTGAATAGGACTGAAACAGGACGTGATAGCTCTGCCTGTCTTTTGAGCCTGGACGTGTTTGAGGCTGTCTGACTTCCTGTGCCCCAATTAGGATAATTCTGCTTCATTTAACAACTAGTTCCATTGAAATTGGTGTACTTATGCACATGAAATACCAATGTCCTCCTGGCTTCTCGCAGGCTATACACACCCACATATTTTGGAAAAGCTCCCAAGTTTCCCTCAAGTGAAAAAGGCAATACTCACTATTCAGACAGAGGAATGCTTTTTTTTTTTAAGTTTTCTGGCGAGGTCTGTAAGCATTTCTGCCTGAAAACTCCCAGGTGCATAGTTGAGGTCAACTCAGTTACTTGTAATGGAATTGGGATTTAGTTAGTACAAAACCCATGGAATTTATGTAATTTAGGAATATAATGCATTTTGCCCCATAAATGCTCAAAACTTTTGCTTTTCTTCTGCATCTTCTTTTGTCCTTCATAGACCATATCTACGTTAGTGCTCATAAGGTAGCAGAAATGATAAATCTTGTAGAAGGCAGGAAGCTTCTTGCATGCCTTATAACAGGACATTTGCATTTTTATACCCCACCCCCCAAAGAGCTCTGAATTACAGTTTGAATTTTTTTTTTTTTGGAAAGCCGAGTTTAAAAAAAAAAACATGCACATGTTCCTGAATTTGCCAAATCCCCACCTGGGCTGAAACGCAGACCTACAAATACATTGTCTCCGTGGTGGGAAGTAAACTCGAAGCCTTGGATTATCAGGGGTGTTAAGAGTCTTCACCCACATCAGGCCAGATTGGATGATTGTCATTGGCAAGGATATACGGTCCACTTGAAAGGCCTATCTTTCTTTTCTGCATCTGAACCATGGAAATACAGGGTAGGGTATTCACCAGAAAGTGGCTCTGAGAAAGAACTCATTCTAGAGTGAGGAAATTCGTAGAACTGACGATATGGATGGTTACGGGTCATGCAGGAATTATAAACAATTCATTTTATTATGTAGAGGAAGCCCTTTGCATAATGTATTTTTACCTTTATGGAGTGCTACGTTACTCACGAGGGAGGATACCTTCCTTAACATGGGTCTCCTCTGGAAGGTAGAGGCGGCCCAGTTTTACAGTCCAACCTCAGTCCTGCACAAGCTAGCCCTGCCTGTGGATTGTGCAAGCTTTCACGTTGGCTTACGTGCTCTTATAACTAAGGACTGGTGAGACCTTTTTTCATTTTTGTAATGTTACAGTAGCCCTAAACAACACCCCCCCCCTTATTTTTTTAGCTAGAGTCACACGCATTAGTTCCTTGTACCTCGATAGAGGCTGTATTTTTCTCAAGGCCCGTCCATACAGCAGTTATCTGCGCTTTTCCTCATGTCTTCTTTCTTGCAGACTGGAAACTTTTTTGGTGAGGTCGAGGGAGCTGTGATGAACAAATTGTTAACAATGGGATCCTTTAAGAGGTAAGGCTTTTATGGGCCCTGTGGTCCCCCCAAAAAAAGTTTGCCTAAATAAAATAAAACCAACTGAGGTCACATAAAACAAGCCCAGGCCTGACCCTTTTGCCTGGCTTGCCTGGTCTGCATATTCCATCCAGAGGGTCTCGATGTAATCTGATGCCTCCCGCCTGAGAGCCGGGAGTCTTGGAACCTCAGCCCACAAAGAGCTTCCTGTTAGCTGAGCAGTTTATTGGAGGCTGATATTGAAGTTGGGGTCTGCAAGGTGATGCCCATTACATCAATTTGAAGCAAGTCACTGGAGAGAACCAGGAAACATTTTCACTGGGAGAAAGGAAGAGATATTTTTCCCCCAAGATGACATTAAGGGAAAAAAAAAAGGTAAGAGTCCAAATGACCAGACTCAAAGGGAAAAAATGGGTTGTTTTTTCTTCTAAATCAATTGTCCCTCCTTTTGTAACTCAGCAAATGCATTTTACCTGGGAACTCTAGGCAAAATGATATCTATTTATGTCTAATTTCCGCTATGGCAGATACCACACAAATGAAATGAGTGCTGGCATAGGCCACTGGTTCATTACACATTGGCCTTTTCCCCCCACTGTGTCACTTCTTGTCTATCCCATCAGTAGCTAGGCCAAGTTCCATTATCTCCAAAGGTCATGGGAAAACTGAACACCCAAATAATCCATTGCTTTGTAGTATCTCCCTTCCATCCCCTCCACCTCCTTTCATTCTACCTCCCAAGAAGAATGGCAACCTTTGAAATGGTGTTTTAATAGAAATAACTGATGTAGTTAAATACATAATAGGAGGAAATATAATGACAGACCTCAAGCTCAAATGGGAGAGGAGTCTGCTGGTTGCCAACAAACAGTGGCTGTCCATCTTATTATCACCCTGGAGTCAGGCAGCATTATTAAAGACAGCCAGTTCAATTAATTCTTCCTAATGCCCTGGAACCTTGGAAGCCAGACATCAAGATCAGCTGAGCCATGCACCAAAACTCAAAATATAAATATGATGATCTAGATTTGTTTTCTCCAAAAAAAAAAAATAATTACAGTGACATGGAAAGTGGGCTAGATTTTCAGTTAAGGGATTTGAGTTTGGACCCATTTGTGGAACTGATATGTCACCTACTGCCTCTTTGGGACTTTGAGCAAAATATTTCCCTTCTCCTGGCCTCAGTTTCCTTGTCTATAAAAGGTGAGGAATGGTCTCTAAGGTCTTTTTTGGTTCTAAATCCCCGACTTCCAAATAATGAGCATCTAGGGTTTCCAAGCCCCTCAACCCTTTGGGAAATGGTCCTCTAATCCCCTTCCAGTTCTAATTCTCTGATCTTAGGATTGTTGAATGAAAAAAAATAGTGATTATATTAAAAATGGATCTTGATAAACCATCACTATTTTGTTCGCTTTTGATTTAAATACTGATTAAACGACTTATCACTGTATCACACTGTGGGGATTCTTATTTGGTATGAGTTGGTCTACACGGTCCCTGAAGCCCTTCTAATTGAAATTCTATAATTCTGTTGATAATAGGAAGTGGATAAAATAACAGATATCCACAGATTCTATGAGCATTTCCTAAGTAATCTTAGCCAAAGTAGATTGATAACCAAATGAGAAAACCAGAAAAAACTGAAACTTTCCTTAGACTATAAAGCAATGATCTCTTTGCCAGGATTAGGACATGGAAGCCAAGGGCAAAACTGGCTTAGACCATTGAGATTAGATTCATTCTCATTGGTACCAGAGGTCAAGAGTAGGAGTAATCAGTGAAAGTTGCAAAAAGGCTGACTTAGGGTAGATGTCTGGGAAAACTTCTTAACAATTAGAGGTGTCCCAAAGTGGAATGATGATGCTGATGAAGAGGAAAAGGAGAAGGATCACGTTGTTGATGATGATGACGATAACTAAGATTGCTATGGTGCTTATTATGTGCCAGGTACTGTGTTAAGTGCTTTACAAATATCATTTCATTTGATCCTCACAACAGTCCTGGGAGATAGGTACTATTATCATCCCTATCATACAGATAAGAAAACTAGAGAAAACAGATTGAGTGAGTAGCCCAGGGTTACACAGGTAATAATCATGAATGCAGGTCCTCCTGACTCTAAGCCCAGCCCTTTTCTATCAGTCCACCTAGCTGGAATGAGATGCTTCATAGGTGTTGGGTTCCACCTACTTGGTGGTCTTCAAACAGAGGCTAGAAGGACTTTTGTCAAGTATATTAAAGTGGGGATTCCTTTAAGGTACAGGCTGGAATAGATGATGACTTCTGAGTCCCCTTCCAACTTTCAAACTGTGTGATCCTTTTCTTTCAGGCCCCAGGGGTCTGTCTCTTTTCTGCTTTCTCCACATTGGAAGGTACTGCAGATACCTGAAAGAATCTCTGCAATTACTTCTCAGGGCATGAGTAATTTTAGTTAATCTACCTTGAAATTCAAAGGTAGCACCATAGAGGGGGATAGAGTATGACTTTGGAGTTAGAGAGA